AATGATTCTATGATTCTATGATTCTGTCCTCTGCATGCTTTGGAGCAGATCGGCTTTGCTGACTTAAAATAAGTATTTAGCGCTCGGCTTGGCAGCTACTGCAGCCGGGGCACAGGCAGGGCTGAGCCTGGTTGTGCTCGGCTGCTCTCAAACCCGTTGCTGGTCTCGGGGCTTCGCAAATGTTCCTGGCGGGTCTGAAATCTTGGTTCCTTGGTGATGACTGAAATGGAAACGGGCTTGACTCTTCCTCTCGGGTTGAGCAGGTTGCTGTTTGTCATCCACGACAATTCGTTGCAATGAGATGAGCTCCGTTAAAAAAGAGGGTGGGTGCAAAATGCCACAACGTGTTGGTGTTACATCCATCGCTGCGGTGTCGTTGTAGGCGTTGCTGGTAAATGATGGTTGGTTCCTCCTCTCCAACTTGGATAATTACATTTTGCCAGTCTGCACGTCGCTTCATTTACACGCCTTATCCTTCATTTCTTGAGTTGGTGTGTAAAGTTGTGTGCTCTTAAATACAATTCTCTTCAATACTTGTGTTCTCCAGGCGTCCATGCTCCCAACAGTTACAACAGCCTTAAGTGATGTTTCTTAATACCGAGGGCAGCTGGAAGCGGCATTCGTTACTTGAAGTGGTTTTATTTTTGCCTTTTGTGTTTCCCACAGCAAATAGGGAGCATCTCATACTGGTCACCACACTAAATGTTGCGAGATAGGGTGCGACGAATAACCCTTATCGTTAGCATTTTGAAAAATAAGTGTGTGTGTAACGGGGACAGAAGCTTTCTAATTTGTATGGTTAAAAGAGGAGCGTCAAGGTATTTGAAAGACAAGCGTGTCGATGGTGCGTCTGGTGGAGGGGCTGAAATTAAACGAAGTAGGCAATTGAGCGTACCCTGTCCCCAGTTAGATAATAGGAGTTGCCGTTCAGCCCCTAACTGAGATGGTCTCAGTGTCTGCTTAAGGCTTTGTGTTCTTGGGATTAATCCTCTGTATCAGACTGTTGGGTTTTTACATCTGACTTAACTATTAATTTCTTCTAACAGATCCAGTTTGCTGACCAAAAGCAAGAATTCAACAAGCGCCCGACGAAGATCGGCCGCCGTTCACTTTCCCGCTCCATCTCGCAGTCCTCCACAGATAGCTACAGCTCAGGTGTGTGCCACCACTGCATTGATTGTTCCTGCTTATTGTCATAACTAAAAGTTTAAGATTATTTAAAAGCAAACGGAAACCTTTTACAGTTATGTAAAGTTATGAACAGTTATGCTCCTGCGAGGAGCAGGGAGTTGGACTCGATGATCCTTACGGGTCCCTTCCAACTAGAGATATTTCTGCATCTCTTACGGCATCTCCGCAGCCTGCAGGGTTTGTCCTGCATTTTGCCGCAGCTCAGGGATCTCCCCGTTCTGCTGTGTAGTCGGCAGTGTCGGAGGGAAGATGTGGGAAGGGGGTTGTTGCTTTTTTTTAATCATCTTTGTGTATAGTTGGATGGAAAATTAAGTTACTCTGCGGCTCCTAACACTTCCGATCCCTCCTTATAGCCCTCGTGTGCGGTTGCTGCTGGCTTTCCTCCTCTCCTTCCCTTTCTTTTCCTTCCAGGCTCAGCAAAACAGTGTTTCTGTTGCGTCCGTGCTTGCATGTCATCTTCCCTTCCCGTTCTTGAATAAATCCATGTGGATCCCGCTGTAGGTTTGGACTCACCCGTTTGCACGTGCAGTTGGAGTCTTTGGAAGAGCGATGGTGACCTTTGAAGGCCACACGTGTCTTCTGTGTTTTTCCTGCTGGAATCGGTGAAATGAAACTTGCAGCGAGCGGTGGACTTGCTGTTTGTTCTTGCTAGCTGTACTTATGGGAACTCACTGGGGAGGGAGGTTGGGTTCGTTGGGGGTTTTTTATTTTGTTTTAAATTTCAGGGCTCTTCTGCAGTCCCTGAAGATTGGTTCTAGAAACTTCATTTTTCTGGTCTAATATTTGGTGGTTGTGCAGCACCATCCAGAAGCCTTCAGGCTCTGGTCCCGCCGGCAGCAGGCTCGTTCCTCTGAGAGTATGGCACAGCAAAGTTTTGTTTTGTCCTGCGTAGGTGCTCAAATTGTTTTGTTTTCTTTGAATATGCATCATTTTCAATGTAAACAACCGAAACTTAATTTCTGGAGCGGTCCATGAAGATTTCTTAAAACCCAAAGGTAGATCCCCATGAAAACCAGACTAATTCCATTGAGTGCCCCGTTCATCAAACATTCAACATTTAGAAATCAAACATTTAGCGATCAAACATTTAACATTTAGAGCTGATGCAAAAAATGCAGCACAAGAAAGTCCTGAAAACAAGTCTTTCGATGGAAATTGGCATTTCTCCTTACAGGAAAACGACTGCTAAAACTTACCTTGACTTGGAGTGAAGGCGGCGAAGCTGCCCTGCACTTCACAAACGGTCTCTATCATCAGTTTATTCAGCAAATAAGTCGCTGTGACCACAGAGTGCTGAGGAAACTCGGTGCCACCGCACTTCCCAGCACGTAGGAACGTCACCAGCCCATTCGGTAAAACATTATGCCCCCAAGTGGCACCTTCAGCTAAATTTTCCCTAGTCCAGTAACACCCATGTGGGACCAGTATCATACCTCACCTTCCAGTGTCCTCTTTTCTTTGTCTCTGAATATGTCATTAAGTACCATTACTGGAGAGCTTGTGTCCCTTCAGGAGTTGGTTATGAGGATAGCGGCTTTCCAGGAATGGGGAGAGGTCATCGGGGATGCTCTCAAATTGTTCAGGATAGGTCCATCCGGGATCCTTGGCACTTTGAAGGGAACACTGCTTGCTACCTGAAATGTTACAGCTACTGTCCCAGCTGAGAGCATCACAGAAAGCAATTTGGATCCCATTCCCCATCCTTCAAGGCATCTTAATGCATCTGATCCCCTCCTAGTCCTGGCCCCTTGAAGAAGATGCAGAAGAAATCAGCTTCCAACGCAAGGCTACAAAGAACGGAGCTGTAAGCAACTTGAAACTGGAGGAGGTGTTACTCCTCTCTTCCTCATGACTGTGAAGGCAAATGATCAGGCCTTTCTGGTGACGTGTACCAAAACTCAGGCTGGAGTACCGTCAAGAGCTCTCAGATGGGTGTTCAGGTTGGTGGCCAGGGTCTGGCTGCAGACCTTGCAGAGGCCTGACTTTATGCCAGAGCCATGGGGAATAAGGAGCACTCACGGTGAGGCTCCGCCACAGTCCGTCACTTAGTCCTTGTCCACGACACGGATGCATTTTTTGGATACTTGGCAGGTCACAGCGTATTTGAGGAGACTCTGGGTAGATATCTCATAGTTTGGAGCATCAGAGACCGCGAGAGCTCAAAGGTACATCCTGCCCTGACTCTCTCAGCTTGTGTATAACAAGAAATAATTCTGTTTTGAGGTGGATGACGTGCTGTGAGCTATGGTTGGTTTTTGGTTGCAGAGTTTGCTGGCCATGGACAAGTCCCATTCTGCACGCTGAAAGCCTATGGCCAAAAATCAAATCTGAAGGTAGTCCACTCACATCTGCTTGTATGAGGGTGGTTTTGGCCATATCCCACCTGCAGCTTCCAGCTGCCTGTCTGCTCTTGAAGGACACAGGACGGAGCCCGTGGGCTCGCACGGGGCTGTCCATGCCGTCCAGTTGTGTGCCTGGATGGATGTGAGCCGAACTCTGCCGCGCCGGCCAGCCCCAGCACCGGAGACCAGTCCCTCGCCTGTTTTATTTCCCAGCGTGGATATAGCTGACAACTACGGCTGAAGTTGATGCCCGTCTGAAGTCCTGGTAGGTCTTGACTGTTGAAGCTGTAGGGAACATCCGTGTTCTTGTGCCCGTCCTGTCATGGTACGTGCTGGGAGCAAACAGGGTAAGACCTCCCATGTATGGTGAACGTGAGCAGATCTGTACGAAGTGGCTTTGTGGCAGTAGTGCATTGTCCCTAACAGAGATCGTTGCCTGTGTGCTACAAGTAAAACATGCAAGATGAGGACCTTTCATGTTTTTCATGTTTTTCAACAACCCAGGTTTAGAAGAGCAAAGATAATTGGTGGAAAAGTCATGGTTATCCGGTCCTCTCTGCTCCTGGCAGAGGCAGATGCCCATTTCCAGAAGATGCAACTGCTGGAGGTTGTGATCTGATCCTGCACACACCAACAGTGAAAGCCATGCACCGTCCGATGGCTTCATCCTTGTTTCTATGGAACGAGCAGCTGTTCTTTGTCTCCTGTCCTGGCTCTTGGGTTGCTTCTTGCACGCTTGGAGGAACCTCCAGAGCCTCCTCCAGAAGCTTGGAGGAGCTCCCCCCAAGGTTGGGGACAACCTGGGTGTCCCATCACCCCTGCAGTAGCTGTGTTCTCACACAAAGGGCTTTTAGGAGAACTTGAGGAACAATGCATGCCATGTCCTCTCCAGAGAGACATCAGCTCGGGCTCTCTTTGCACTTTGTAAGCCACCTGGATTATGTTTGTAACGTTATCTTTGGTAGCGTGTTTTAAGCTGGCATTAACGATTAGACTCCTCTAATACAGGTCTGTGATTAATATAACATTTATACAGGTTTTACAACTCCATCTGATATCTACTCAGCAGGGTATATTTTATGACTGTCGTTTTTAAAGACTAATAGGCTGATTAGCCTGGCTAATGTCATCATGTTTGCTCCCCATTCACAGCTGAAAGAACCTGGAGCAACTTTGGGGAATTCGCCTCCGCCCCTTGCACTTAGCGTCTCCTGTAAAGCATCAGCAATTGCAATTAATTAGCTTGTGAAAGTATTATATTTCCCTCCTAATGAAAGCTGCGAGGCTGACAGTCAAGACGGAAGACTTCTGTTCTCAGGACGGTTGCAGGATGGGTAGATGAATCCCATTAGTACCTCTTGGCGTGGGTCTTTGTCAATCTCCTTTTAGGGCTGAGAACAGCACGAACAGTCGAAAGAACCCATTAAGCCCTCCTGGGATGGGAAAAGGCTGGAAAAGAAGCAGCAGGAGGAGCAGAGAGATGATAATGGAGGGGAAGAATCATAGAATCACAGAATCATTTAGGTTAGAAAAGACCTTTAAGATCATCAAGTCCAACGGTTACCCCAGCACTGCCAAGTCCACCACTAAACCATGTCCCTAAGCGCCTCATCTACACGTCTTTTAAATACTTCAGGGATGGTGACTCAACCACTTCCCTGGGCAGCCTGTGCCAAGGCCTGACCACTCTTTCAGTAAAGAAGTTTTTCCTAATGTCCAATCTAAACCTCCCCTGGCTCAACTTGAGGCCATTTCCTCTCGTCCTATCGCTTGTTACTTGGCAGAAGAGCCCAACCCCCACCTCGCTACAACCTCCTTTCAGGTAGTTGTAGAGCGCGATGAGGTCTCCCCTCAGCCTCCTCTTCTCCAGGCTAAACAGCCCCAGTTCCCTCAGCCGCTCCTCATCAGACTTGTTCTCCAGACCCTTCACCAGCTTCTTGCTCTTCTTTGGACACGCAAGAGGTGTGTGGAAGTCCCAAGGTTTGGAGGTGGTGGGCATGAGTGAAGAAGTGAGCAAAACCCAAGTGACTCTTCCCTGAGATGTGCTTGGTAGAAGAGTCATCCCAGCATCTCTGCCCAAAATGATGGGGAGGTGCCGGTGCCGTTTGAGTGATGCAAGAGAGGCCTGGCCGTGGAAGCAGCATCTCTGCAAACAGCCAGTGGTTTCTTCCTGCCCATCAAAACTGGGAAAGTTCAATCAAAATCAGCTGGTCTCCAAAATACGTACAATCTGTGAAGCTGCGATGAGGAGCAGCGACCTCCAAGATGCAATGCGTCGCTAACTGGGCTTTGCTAGAAGCAATAACGTGAAAAATGAGGGTGGTGAAACCCTGGCACGGGTTGCCCAGAGAGGTGGTAGATGCCCCATCCCTGGGAACATTCAAGGTCAGGTTGGACGGGGCTCTGAGCAACCTGATCTAGTGGAAGATGTCCCTGCCCATGGCAGGGGGGTTGGACTAGATGGCCTTGAAAGGTCCCTTCCAACCCAAACCATTCTATGATTCCATGGTAAACCAGCAGAGACACGGTTGAACAGGAGAACTTTATCACTTGGTTGCTGTAAAGTACGAAGAATGAAAATACTAACGATCCGTGCTGATCCGACTCTTCAAATTAGAAGTAAAAGTCTCTTATCTCATTACCGTTACCATAAGCCACCCATTTTCTGTAGTTGTTCCACCTCATTTAAAATGAGTAATTTTTCTCAACAGGGAAATTAATTGTTTTCTGTGCCGTTCGGGAGTGGTTTATACGCCCAAGGACGCGCCGTGGTGTTTAACGGCATCTGCTCCTGCAAAGCAGGGAAAGGCAGCGACCCGACAGCTCGGCTGTGGAGTCGAGGGGATGTTTTGGCGTTGCGCTGGGCAAATCGCTTGAATTTTGGTAACTGTTCTTTCCCTTTCTGCAAAGCTCAGATAATTGTTATCTGCTCGAACAAAGATTTTTGGGGATCAGCGGGTTTATATCAGCTCAGTGCTTTGAATACTAAAGCGCTCAGCCTTGTGTATTACGCACCCGTTACACGTTATGCGGGCGCTGAAATGCGATTAGAACAGTAATATCTTTAATTAAAGGCGATTGACTTCATCCTCATGCTGTTTCATAACTTTCAAAAGGTTGTGCAGAAAAGAAACAAGGTTTGTCTTTTTAATTGGGCTGTAACAGGGGCAGGTTGCCGCTTTTTCGCCCGTACCGACGCCAATACTACAGATGTGAGTGCATCCTCATCTGAAATATTAGCAAAGCTAAACTTTGCTGAGTTTAGGCTCTGACATGGTCTTTGCTGGGTTAGGACGCGGGTTGCAGGTGTCTCCTTTTCCCCCCAACATTTTTCCACTGGGTAACAGTGCCTGAGACCTGCTGCTGTTTTCATGTCATTCCCTTTGAAATAATACAGTTTATATTACAATGCTGCGCGGCTCCGCGGAATGTCAGCCCCGGTTATGAAGCTTTCATTAATCAACTTTTGGGTGATTTGAGTTGATATTTAGGAGGCTGCCTATCCCATCAGTTCATTGGGTATTTCGAGATTACAGGTGCTAGGAATCCTTTCCTTTCTGTACTTGTTTTTCATTTTACAGGAAAGCAAGGGCAAAATTTACTATTATATATCAGTACGCTATTATACTACACTAACAATATTAGTTTAATTACCTTAGTGCTATATGCACTGTTATGTATTATACATATGTAACAGTAAAAACCATCTGCATATCAAAATCTGGCTACCATCTAGGCGGGTTTTTTTGTTTAAAAAAATTACTTTCAGTCCCCAGAACCAAGATCTATGGTTTTAAAGAAACCTCTGCACAGATTAGCTATATTCAAGGAAATAATCCTCCTTTAACTAATTAATCCTTCTGGAGTCCTTGATATACAAGAGCCTGGTATTATATAAGGTGCTCTTTTGTTATTAAGCCAGGCTCCCGGTCCTTCAGGAGCTGCCCTGGGATTGTGAACACAAATTCAGAAATATATTGCGGCCAGCGCGTTGTTTGCAGGGTCAGACTTGCCTTTCGCACCCCGCTGAGGATGGAGTCTTTGCAGAGAAATTTCAGCAATGCATAATTCTCCTCCGTAAGCGGATTAAGACCCGAGCGGGTCTTGGGGAGCCTGGCACACCGACAGTGGCAGCGCTAAGCTTTTTTCCTTGGGATCATTCAAGCGCTTCACGCGAGCCAGAAGAGAAAGTAATCAGCTTGCTGGGTGCTGCAGGAAAGACAAACCCATGGCCATGCTGGGGGGAAGGGTTTAACTCCTTGGTTTGGGTTTTTTGGCGTGAAGATGTTAACAGAGCTATTGAAATGCTTCATGGAGGGGTGGTTTGCCTTTATTCCAAGTTCTCTGAAGGGGCTCTGGGTATCAATCTTCACTTGAGATCTGGATGCCTCTGGAAAGCCGCAGCTCTTTGAGAGCACTGGTGGGTGGTGATAAGACCGTGGGTTCAACCGTGCCATTCTTCCTATGACACACTGTAAGAAGTGCTCACCCTTCGTGCTACCAAATTTCTTTGGCACAGAATTGGGGTAGAAAGTTGGGAATCTGTACTGACTGTTGGGTAGAACAACTCCCTTGGGTGTTTGGTGTAGATCATTCCCTCTTGGAGACAGTGTCTGGGAGAGAAGCTAGCTCACGCGTGCAGCAACACATCACCCAAAGCCAGTAGCTGTTGAGTTTGACTATGCAACATTTCCTAGGTTAAGATTTAACCAATTCTTTTCTGGTGTCGTGAAAGGAAGAGAGCTCATCATCCTGTGTGATGCCTTCACACATGCACATCGTTTGCTAGCGATGCATAATATCGGCCAACTCCCCTGAGGCTGTCGTGGATAGTCCTGTTCAGCAAAGGTGGTCCTCTTCTGCTGTAACAAATAATTTGATGCCGGGTCTCACGTTCATTTTAGAAGTACCACATGATCTGGAGAGAAAAGACTTGGAGTAAAACGTCAGGGCAATTTCATGAGGAATGGGGGATGACCATGTGGATGAGGCTCTTGAGTTGGGTCCCAAGGTGTGGCTCCTGCCAGGGAGGAGGTGGTGGTAGTGGTGATGGTGGTGGTGAGGAGCTCAGCTGGACCAAGAGCCCTGCCCTCCAGGTGCTTTGTCTCTGGAAAGGAAAGAGGAGTGGTGCTTTCTAGTTCATCTCCGAGCCTTACGTGTTGCTTTGACTGCTGATGCCAGTCCTAGAAGATGAAAGAGGTCTGGTCTCCCACATGGGGGCATATTCCAGAGGAAGACATGGCACAAATAGTCTCTTCAGCTGATCCTGATAAACTGGAAGCAGAAGTGGTGGCTAATTCATCACAGCTCAAATCGAAAATGGACTCTACATGTGATTTTAGTAATCAAAATAAACAGGAAGGGGGATTTCTAACTCCATGAAGGGCTCTTCAGTAAATCTCCATCTGTCTGCCATAGACTAGTTGCCTAACCAAAAGTTTGGAGGACATTGATAGGAAAGGAAGACAGTTATGGACAGCAACTGTAATTAATTCTGTGTTCACACATGCACATCCATGCCCGGTACCCATGTATCATCTTAGACAAGAAGCATAATCTGTTTCTGCGATACCGTATGTTTGCTATCCCCTGTAGGCTCCTTACTACGGAGAGAAGTGGTACCATCTTTCTTCCTCATCTCTTATCAAAAGAGCAAGAGGGAGGAGGGGTTAAAGAAGATCCAGAAAGGCAAAATATTGAATACATCTCCAAGTGTTTGTTATTTATAATAGAAAAGAAGGGGAAAATCCAAGGGCTGGATTGAGCTGTCTGTAGATGTACAGAGATGTTGATTGGAAGGAACCACCAAGGTCATCTCGCCCTCCTGCCCACTCAGAGCAGGACATTGCCAGCACAGGATCAGGTGAGCCGTGACTCTCTCAAACCAATTCCTGAAGTCCTCCAAGGATGGAGATCCACCAGCTCTCTGGGCAACCTGTGTCAATGTTGCATTATCCTCCCGATGAAGAAGTCTCTTCCTACCATCCCACGTGAGCCTCCCAGGCAACTTGTGGCCATTGCCCTTATTAAGGAACGTTGAAATTGAGCAAATCCAAGGGCTGGGAATACCGCCATAACTGAACAATAATTAACTAGCAGGCTCCGCCATGCCGTTGTTTAAAATGAAATAGGGTCTTGTATCTATCCTGTCCTAAATTACAACTCTTCATGTTTTGGAAGTACTGAAAACATTAATAGGCATTTTTGTTGGCTATTTTAGAGCTGTAAAGGCTTACCATTTGGGAAGAGAGATGGGAGAAGGCCGCAGAGGAGCTGCCAAGCGTGAGGAGATGAGCCCATGGGGGACACGGGCAGTGCTCGAGCTGATTCCCTCCGGCGGTGTTGCAGTAGAGGTAGATGAGGGCGAGGAGGTTGTTGCAGGTAAAAGCTGACTGTGGGGAAATGGCCATTGTAAGGAGAAGAGGAGATCCCAGCTGAGGACGGAGGGAGTTGGCACGTGCACATGGAGAAGCACGTCCATGGACACGTTCAGCAGATCATCTGCGCCTTCCACTGCAGGTGGTTTGGCTTTAGGGAATATTTTGTTCTGTCTCTGACCTCCTTTTCTTCCTCCAGCTGCCTCCTACACAGACAGCTCTGATGATGAGACCTCCCCCCGAGACAAGCAGCAGAAGAACTCCAAAGGCAGCAGTGATTTCTGTGTGAAAAACATAAAGCAGGCAGAATTTGGGCGCCGAGAGATTGAAATCGCTGAACAAGGTAAATGGGGCACGTTCCTCAAGCTCCACAGTTGTCCGAGGCTGTCTTGTGGGGTTCTTCCTTCCCCCAAATCCTCTTCTTGCGAGGTTCAGTATATTGGTGATTTCTTGACACCGTTCCTGTTAGAGCTGGGAAAACTTTTATGGGATTTTGTGGGATGGGAAGGAGTTACAGGGTTATGCCGTGTAGCTCCAACCAACCAACTACCGAAGGACTACTCTATAGTCAAATGCATTTTGTTAAAATCAGTAGAAAAGATTAGATCCATCAAATAAATTAGACAACTTTGGTTTAGCATGAAAATATCGGTAGCAAAGGCAACACAGTGTTTAGGTAGTTGGAGCGATATCGGAGAGGCTGGCCAGAGCAGCGAGTCCCGAGTCCTCCTCAGTCTAGAGCAGATTTTTCTCCAGCCTCACTTAGGCATTCGCAGGTAGGAATTTGAAAATGTGATGATGCTACATCGTAAATAGTGGGAAAAGACCTCAGAGGGTTATTGGGTCCTTTTCAGCTCTGCCATGACTTACTTGATCCCTGCTCTCAAGGGTTTTGGTTTTTTTGAAGCTGCCAGAGCTGTACGAATTCATAGGGGTACCAGCTAGCAGGGCAAGAAATGATGCCAGCTGTTTCTTCTGTGCTCATCCCTCTTCCCGTCGCATTGATGGACTTCTTTTTATTTTGCCTTTCAGAAATGCCTGCGCTGATGGCTTTGAGGAAGAGAGCACAGGGAGAGAAGCCACTGGCTGGGGCCAAGATCGTGGGCTGCACGCACATTACAGCGCAGACAGCTGTAAGACCCCGTCAATAAACTCCAGACAGGGATTTTTCACTGCTTAGCCTCTAAAATAGACCCCGAGCGGTTGAGAGAGAGATATATCCACACACGTATATATGCTGCATATATAATATACTTTGAAGTTCTTATTTACTTCATCCATTTTAAATTGTAAAAAAAACCATAATTGCAAAATTGTTTTCTGTGTAACGCTCTAATGACCCTGATGCTGCTTAAAACCAACTTCAGATACCCCCGGAAGCTTTCCCATAAATAGCAAATAAAAATCCCAGTTGTATACTGCTCTTTGCATTGCTCTTTCTGATTTTTTTTGGTTTAAATCCAGGTCCTAATGGAGACTCTTGGTGCGCTGGGTGCGCAGTGCCGATGGGCTGCGTGCAACATCTACTCTACTCTTAATGAAGTGGCTGCTGCCCTTGCTGAGAGCGGTAGGAAACTTCACCCTCTTTGTTCTTTCTGGTTTTAAAAAGATTTCTTACTATCCCATCATATTTAGCTCATTTACTATCTCTTATAGTTTTTTCCTTCATTCTCTTCAATTTAGAATAAGCCTGTAGGAGGTAAACAGCACAAGATCAATCCCTTCCATTGGTCTGAAAAATCTTAGAATGATTTTTCTCTGGAACATAAAAGTATGTAGCACAACTGATGATGATGCACATTATTAGGCATCAGGGCTACGTGAACCTGGAAGTTATTTTGCTAAAAGCAACTGAGCTAAATTTTATTTCGGTTCTATAAATTTGAGTCATAACTTTGGCTAAAAGGGGTGAAAGGGAGAATTTTAGGGGGACGTAATTCACAAAACAGAAGCTGTCCATGTTGCTGCTCACCTGGGAGATGCCTTAATTCAAATCCTGTTTTACCTGGGTAAGGCCAGGGATTTTACCGTGAGAGCTGGGAGACCCAGAAGAAGCCAAACCCACCAGCTTGCCTGTTACCTGGTCTTGCTCACTGAAGCTGGATAATAATTGCTCATGAGTCATAATACGTTCAAGTAAATTTTTGGCTAACGTGCCTACCAGGAAGGTAGGACATCTAACTCGCAGCAAAAGCTTGATCTTGCAGATAAATGTTATCGTTGAGAACGTGTTGCCCTCTCGTCTGGTGGCTAGGGCTTTTTCCTGGGGGAGAGGAAGAAATTAGGAAGGCTAAAGCTGACTCCTGTCTGCTGCCTTCAGCGTGTGTCTTCAATGTATATCTCTGAAGCTTCTTCTAGAAGGTAGATGTTGAAAAATCAGACTGCAAGCAAGACTGCAGTGGTGTCGGGAGCCTGCTTCATCACGCGTGGACGTAGGGAGAGCCGATCCCCAAGGGGTTTGCTAAGGCTGTGTTAGCACCCGTCTCCCTCTCTGTGCCAGGGTTCCCCGTCTTCGCCTGGAAGGGAGAATCCGAAGACGACTTCTGGTGGTGCATCGATCGCTGCGTCAACGTCGAAGGATGGCAGCCCAACATGGTGAGATGGGGCCGACTGTAAAACGCTCGGCGCGTGTTGAAGCGTGGGTAGCTCTCATCTAGAGAGAAGGAAAAGGCTTTAGTGCTGGTCTGTGTTTTCCTCCTGGATTTAGACCTAACCGAGCAGTTAAGGCTTGGTGCTAACACAGCACTTCCCTTCAAAGGGCTTTACGGTTAACTACACAATGGGGGAAGTTCGCTTACCTCAGTCTCACAGGTGTAAAGTCAGGGAGAAGGTGGGGTAACTGACTTCTGCGTGGCTATCCATGGGCGTAGGTCATGCCCACTGAGCAAAGTTTTGTTTAACTATTTTCTAAATAAGCACGGCTGCGTTAATGCAAAGTTTATAGGGTGCTTAGTTTGCTTCCAGAGTAGCTTGCTACAGTTTAAACCAAACTGATTTCATCTGGCCAGTAAAAAATGACTCAAAATCTGTATGTTCTGAAAAGGGGTTGCATCCATTTTACCATATTCGATTAAATTCACAGCTTTGGTTGATGTGAGTTTTCTTATCTAGGCAAGGCTTCTGTTTCAGAACAAAAATTAGATTTTAGGTGATGTCCTTACTGTACAAACACAAAACCTCAGGTAGCCTAGCTCCATACTTTGCTGGTTTATTCTGCCCTTGTTTCTAGGGAAAACAGAACCCTGAACTAGGTGAGCAGAATAATTTACAGCCGTCAAATGTGCTGTTTTCATCATGCTTCCCGACAGATTTTGAGCCCCGGAGCTTATGATCTAAATTAGACAAAAAGTAATCAAAGGTGGAAGGTAGGCGTGTAGCTGTATGTTTGTTTGCCAATATCAGCTTGTTTGAGGTGGGTTTTTTGTCCTTTCCAGTCTACACCTGCTCACTTCCTCGCTGTCACCTTTAAAAAGAATTGTAAATGTCAAAAATCCACCCCCAAGCTACGAGTCTGAGTCTAGACATGATAGCTGCTTTCTTCTTCTTTTTGAGGAATAATTTCCCATTGAAAATGCCAGTAATTGAAGAAGTCAACATACCAGAATATGCATATTATGCTTTCCCAGGATCTCTTCGGACCCCTTGATTCTGCGACGTGTCTCTATCCATCAGTGTATTTTCAGACCTCTTTCTGGAGCACAGAAATAATTGCTGGGGAGCACCAAATGCCTTAGATCTAGCAGTTCCCAAAGATTTGCACGCCTGATTTTGGAGGTCCACGTTTTTAGGGACAAGAAATAGGACACTGGATATTGAGTGAAGAACAGGTGTGGAAAGGATCTTCTTCATACGATTATTTCAGAAGAGAGCAAACTTGGCCAAAGAAGCAAGGTGAAATTTGCCTCTCCGGTCCGTCCAGTCTCAAGGCTGAAGTGAGATGGACCTACGCTGCTCCATGTCCCAGTGGCAACTTTTTAGAGCCTGCATCATATTTTTTCTCTCCTGTTGAGATTGAGGATTTCCCCTGATATCCTGAATCAAGGAGATACGTCCCCAGGTTGTAGGACTGAGCCTGAGCTGCTGCTCCTGGCAGCCCGTGACCTTTGTATAAACCTAAATCTAACCTCTTTTCATAGAATCATGGAATGGTTTGGGTTGGAAGGGACCTTTAAAGGTCATCTAGCCCAACCCCCCTGCCGTGGGCAGGGACATCTTCCACTAGACCAGGTTGCTCAGAGCCCCGTCCAACCTGAACTTGAATGTTCCCAGGGATGGGGCATCTACCACCTCTCTGGACAACCTGTGCCAGGGTTTCACCACCCTCATAGTGAAGAACTGTCTCTTGTCTGGTCTTCTCTTCCCATTAACAAAATACCAACGATACTTTTTAGGATTGTTGATGATTATTAGTGGCGGTACAGTGCTTTGAAGATGTTCTGTGCAGTGCTACATGGCACGGTGTGATCAGATGGGAAATTCTCTCTGTGAAAAGTGATTTAATAACATGCCTATCTCTGTCCAGCACGAAATAATCAATTTGGACTCTTATAGTGTGGAGTAATTCAGAGCACAAGTATCCAACTTGTACTTGTTGATCCGAGATGAAAGTAACATGGAAATGCATCTCCATTTCCAGGCTTCTACATCTTTAAGCTCAATAAAGAGAAGTACAATCTCTATTTCTACTTAAGAGAAAGCAAAATGGGTCAAAGTAGTTCAGCAGCTTGCTGTAAGCCAGGCTGACTTAATATCAGGGCTCGAAATATAGCCCAGGAGTCCTGTTCAGCATTGCTTCCCTGGCCCCCACCAGTCCCGTGTCCGGGTGGGCACTGCAGGGCGTGATGGAGCTGCCCTTGTACATCCCACGCAAATAAATAAGGGTGTCTTACAGTCCAAAAATCTGAATATTCAGTGTTAGGGCTTCTGTGTGGCGCTGCTCCATGGGAACCGTTAGCCGCAAATACTGAGAGTCTCCGAAAAACACCTTGGGTTTTCTGATGGGAATAGCCGGCCTTCAGAGGAGCGCTCTGTCTGGACAGGAATGGCTCAGAGGTTTTTTTTTTCTGAAAAATAGTGAATCTGCAGGGTTTGGTTTCCTTTGCAGCATAAAGTGATCTAGGACCACGCTGCCGCCGGGGCATTTCGATGCCACCTCCGACCATGCCTTCCTGCCATCTCCTTCCGTTTTCACCGCTCATTTTCTGTAGTGAGTTATTTTCAACCATGTTGCTGAGCTAATCCGAGCTGATTTTAATCAGCTGGGTTTTGGCAAGATCAACCACGTGGTGTCGGCTCTTGCCCCAACAGAGTTGGAAGGGGGGCAGGGTGAGACATTCGGTGGCAGCGGGATCTTAGATGGGTTTAAAGAGGTTGTAAAATGGCACCCTGAGACACCGGTTTCTTTCATGGGAGAACTAGAGATTTTCTGCTGGAGAAAATGTGAACTGGAAGGACTGAGAAGTCACAGCCCTTCTGTGCAGACAGCAATGTGAAATTGGTTACTTGGAGAGAAAAGCACTGAGAGAGAAACATCTACCAAGGGGACACGGATACACCAAATCAGTCAAAAATCATAAAAATTCAGGGTGAGTACTGCTGTGGAGGAGCAGGACTAGATATCTCCAGGTGCTTGGGTCAGAGGATGGTCCCATCTCCAAAGAGAGGAATGTCCCTGCAGGCACAGGGTGATAGGAAGATGTTTTTCACAGGCGTGACCACTGCCAAAATCAAGAGGGAGGTTGATGAACCGCAGCCGGGAGCGTTGGTTTGCAGATCGTGCCTCTCGGTGGGCATCAGGCAGCAGCGCCGAGAGGCAGAGCAAGGCTCACATCTATAACGGCTGATTTTCTGTACGAAAAATTCTTTGCATGTCAAATAACGGCTTTTTTCCCAGAAAAAAATCTGCCTGGGAGGAATTCGAAGGCAGGCAGGTAACTTGCGTAAAGCTGAGGAAACTGCAGGAATATGGGGCACATACCACGGGCTTTGCCGTCGGCCCTTTGGGGCTGCTACCCAAAGGTGACCTTCCATCAAAAACGAGTTCCTCCATTGATTTGGTTTGGTTTTTTTCATCTTCTGTCCTCCTACGAAAGAGGAAACTGCCAACCCCCAGAATTCTCTCTTAGAAAGAGGATTATGTGCCCTATTAAATGGGGATTAATGAAATGAAGACGTCCTGGGAGCCAGGCTGCTGAATTCCTACCTCGGCTGGCCCAGGAGAGCTTCTCAGCCCGCTTAACCCTTACCTGCCTCTGCTTCCCAGCCTGTGAACGGGAGGTGGACCTGGGGCTTCCCTGGAGCCTCGAGAGAGTTGGGTCTGTGTGGAAGACGCGTGCTCTGCTCTGGCAGGACACCACGTGCTTTCCAGACATTCGTGGAGGAGCAGCTGCTACCCACAGCATTCGTCTTCAGTGGAAAATCCTGAAATTTAGAGAGAAAAAGGTTGTGATAGGACGTAGCATTTCCAAGCAACTCTTTGCCCACGGATGTCAGGGTGGTGGCTCCGTGCAGCCACCACATCGTGTCGTGACAAAGCTCAGGAACGTCGTCTTTGCGCCCGCAATGGGGTTCTGTCGCGGGAGCATGGTGGGAGTGTTAAGTTTTTCTGGGTGGCTGCAGATGCCGGTGGGAGAGCTGCAGACGCCTGCGGCAGAGGGTCCCTGCCGGGCTCCACCGCCAGCCAACGAGCAGAGGTGCTTCTGCCCAGGTTTGACATTTGCATTTTAGGACACCAGCATATCCCACCAGTAGGTTAATGAGGGCTGGCTTGACGGTCAGAAGTCTTGAAC